AACGTAATACTATAAGAAAATGACTGACAGTGGTGGGAAACTATGGGGGGGAGGGGAAAGGAGATGGGATTAATGGTAGTAAATATCTGTCTGGGGATGGGGTGACAATTCTTATCAACAAGGGTGCCTGAACAAAGCATATTTGTATATCTAACCCATAACTGTACCCCACAATATCATAATAAAAAATATTGATTATATAAAAAAAGAATATATATAAACAGAGTGAAATTTATATTATAAATAGAACTATACAGAAAGATGACAAAGCAAAACTAAAACAGAACTCCAACTGGCAGGAGTGTAAAGATTTCATAGAAGCTGGCAGTTGGTCTGAAACCTGAATGAGTATGGTTTCCATAAAAGAAAAAAGTTTGTTCCTCGTTCAGGAAACAAACCGAACAAAAGGTATACAAGTGAATGTATAGAGTGAATTTAAGAATTGTTGTAGGAGACAGTGTGTAGAGTGGATGTGGTAAGAAATGAGGATGAAGAGGAATGATGTCAGATCATGTGGGGTATGGGAAACCACTCATATTTTTCAAAAGGGCAGTGCCCCGATGCAGAATAACATCAAGGTTATGAGAACGCAGCTGTAGAGTCTGAAGGACCTGGGCTCAAATGCTAGCTCAACCACACACTAGTGCAAGACTGAGTAAAAGTGACTTAATCTCTCTGGGCCTTATCAATAAAATAGAAATCAACTATCTACTCCCTAGGATCACTGGGAAGATCAATTGACATACTATATGTTGCTCACCAAACAGAGCCTGGCACATAGTCAGCATTCAGTAAACATTAGTTACCATTATTTCTACTTATTTATTCCCTGAATTTGGCCAAGAGTGAGGCTTCTATTTGACCACTACTATTTTCCTTTAATGGTAGCAAAACCAGTCTCTCTGCCATTATCCTTTATTCCTTCTTCTCTCTATACTCTGTCCTGAAAAAAATCAAATTTCTGCACCTTCTCACATTTAGCAGTGCCAGTCTCTATTTTCCTCTTAATACAAGGCTTTGTTTGTTTGTTCTGACTTTTTTTGTCTTTCTCTCTAGAAATAAGGTAAAATGCTCCCTTCTTTTCTAATTGATACCTACCTGTTATGAAATAATCTTACTTCCCTAAGAGGTGGTTTGGATTGTAGTCAAATTTTTTTTTTTTTATTTGAAGGGAGAACTAAGACTTAGAAACTACAAATACGTTTTTATAAATTTAGGCCACAATATACCAAAAGCACAAGACTGTTTCTAAAACATTTTATTTGAGGTATTGTCTGTGAAAAGTGAGAGAAATGAAGAAGAAATGTAAGAGAGGAGAGCCTGAAAAAGATTATGATATTCCATAAAAAGCTTCAAAAGAAGCTTCCCCCTCCCCCATCCTTTTTTTTTTGGATAAACAAGTGGTTATAGTATGGAAGATGTGCACGGGGACTAAAAGACAAACTAGATTATCTAATGGAAACCAACCAGATAAAGAGACGGCTATTCCTCACTTACTTCTTTAAGTATAAGTGCACAGGAACCAAAGCAGAATAAGCAAACTGGTAGTCACAAGTGGAAGAGAACGATTATGGAGTAAATGCAGTCTCTCCTGATAAGCCAGCCCCAAGGCTAACAAGACATTCTAGCTTTTTCATGTTGGAAAAATTCATTTATCTCAAGTATTTCAAAAGCAAAAGGCAGGAAAAGTCTTGAAGCTATTCAGCTAAAGAAGCTAGTCCTAAAGGCAGTGAATCAATGTGTCCTCAGTTTCTTTTTCCCTCTAAAAGTGAAATACAATGTCTTCTTTCCTTCTCCTAACTTACATTCGTTTGATATATTATTTTCCCTATCTTCAAAGTAGCTTAAATCTGGAAGGTGAAGAGAGAAGGGCCAAGAAAAATGGAAAGGGAGAAAATCAAACCAACAGAAATCATTGTTTTGTTTGCCAATGCCAGTTTCCTGGTTTTAATATTGTACTATAGTTATGTAAGACATTACCACTGGAGGAAATCCAGGTGAAGAGTACATAGAAGTTCTCTGTACTAGTTTTGTAGCTTTCTATAAATCTACAATTATTTCAAAATAAAAAGTTAAAAGAAAACGAGTTGAAAAGGAAGAATTATCATACCTGAGCTGATGCAGCTCACGCTGCCAGGAGAGGTTTTCCTGCCTGAGCTCCTCTTGCATAATTTGAAATGTTTTTGCCTTATCTTGATATTCTTGAAGTTGATCCTTCAGTGGACGTAACTCAGTGTTCTCTTGGTTAATCTGTAAGTACTGCTGCTGCAGATTCTTCAATTCCTTCAGCTTTAACCAAAGGAAAAGTAAAGAAAAGTAAAGAAAATGATTCACCACATCTCATTCAATTATAAATCCGCAGCTCCCGACTAAGTCAGACATGACAACATACAACCAGCACCTAACAGTCCACTGATGATATATCACCACAGCATGAATTTCTAAAATGGAGAAATGTATGCAGTCAGGCTGGCGGAAACCACCCATGGAATTGTCATCAAGGCCGTGGGGCCTGACCATTTCTGCAACTTCTACTTCTTTCCCCCAAGCCCTGAGGTCCTAAGTTGACTTTAGAGCTACAGTTCTGACATGGGATAGACTTAAGGGACCCTCAGCTTCATTGTGGGTGGTAACATCCTAGAACAAAAAGTGTAGAGATGGACTGGCTTTCCATTTAGTCATGAGACTTAGTTACAGTTCGAAAGTTTCTTACATGAATAAAGTCTTAGCTCTAGCTTAGCTAATGTTGACTATAAAGAAGGCAGAGATACTCAGTGGTTAAGAACACTCAGGCTCTGGAGTTGGGTATCCTATTATCTCTTGGGTGATCCCATGCATGTTCCTCATACACTGAGTCTTAATTTTTCTCACCTATTAAATGAAGATAATTATAGTATCTTTTTCACAAGAATATGAGAAGTAAATGAGAAAATTAATGCATTTCACACATAAAGTTAGTTATGATAGACTTGCCTTTAATTAGCAAAACTGCCTATCTACATTTCAGGCATATTTTCTTTTTTTTTTTCTTGAGTTGGAGTCTCACTCTGTCACCCAGACTGGAGTGCAGTGGCCACTCCCAGCCACTGCAGCCTCGACCTGCTGTGCTCCGGCGATCCTTCCACTCAGCCTTCCAAGTAGCTGGAACTACAGGCGTGCGCTACCATGCCCGGCTATCAGGCATATTTTCAAAGTTTATCCCCAGTACTCATTAACAGCTTAGTAGTAAGAAATAATGTCAGGACATCTTGGCAAAGATGGGGGCCTTGATCACATACCTCTTTCACCCACTCAGAAACATTACTAAAGCTACAATAAAGGCAATTTTTAAAAAGCACAAAACACAAGAACAGAAAAAACAATAGAGGAGTCAGCAGCAATAAAATTAATTTTGGAAGCTGAAAAGCAGAGGAATAAGGAGACCGACTTAACATCTTAGAAAGCTAAATCTTAAGCTGGCAGTAAGAAAAGCCAAGAACCAATAGAACTTACTCTGCAGAATCTTCAAAAGGCTCAGGAATTAACAGCATCAGGTACCTCTGGAAAAGATGGTGATGGGGGGATAGGAAGGAGGTGGTAGCTGAGATGAGGAGGATTGGATGAAAGCTGTTTAAGAAACAATTTCATCCACAGATCCCCTCCTCAGCTCCACACTTTTTGTTTATCCCAACAGATAAATCGTTTGATTCTCTGGAGAAGGTCAAAGAAGTGCCTCTGAACGATGGCACACCAGGCACAGTTACAAGTAAGCATGCTGTTCCAAAACAAGGGTGATCATGTGAATATGCTTTCTGAAGGCTTGAAGTCTTTCCCCTACTCAGCTTGAAGAGTGCTAGTAAAAAGCCTTTTCTTTCCACACAGAAAATATAATGTCTTCTCTTGAACATCTGACCAGCCCAAGAGGCACTAACTAGAGATACCAACATGAGGACTGCCAACAATAAGCTCAACAAGATCACCTTGCAGTGAAACTCAGTTGGTAAATCCCACCCACAAGCTTTTTAGACCCTCCTCTTAAACATGAAGATTAAACCAAAGATAAACCCTCACCTGAAAAATGGCTAACATTCAGGAAGGGATGAAAACCAACTGGAGAAGATAATTTGGAAGAGATTAGTAGGGAGAAAATGTAACATATTCAAAGATTTAAGAGAGTAAATTGTAAATCAGAAACATTATAGCACAAATTAAAAATTATAAGAAAAAACTCATTATAAGAAACATTTTTTTTAAAACTACCACTACCATCTTTAGAAAGAGAAGTTAAAATTTATCCAGGAGACAAGGAAAAAAAATCCTTATAAGTTAAGAATATGATGGCAAAAATAAAAGCAATTTGGGGTCAAAAGATGAAGGTGAGAAAATCTTTCCAAAATATAGCAAAAAGAACAGAAAAGGTAAGAAAATTAGAGAAGCAATTCAGAAGATCCTACATCTAAATAACAGAATTTTCAGAAATAAGACAACAGAGAAAAAGGACAGGAAAAAATGATTAAAAAAAAAAACACTTCAATGGAATTTCCAAAAATTTATGAGTATAACTTTTTAGATTCAAAGGACTAGTCAGCATGAGGCAGGAAAATAGACCTAACCTAAATAATGCTATCATAAAATTTCAGAACAGGCTGGACACGGTGGCTCACGTCTATAATCCCAGCACTTGGGGAAGCTGAGATGAGAGGACTGCCTGAGCAACAGGTTCGAGACCAGCCCGGGGAACTTAGCAAGACCTCATCTCTACAATAAATCAAAAAATTAGCTGGGCATGGTGGTGTGTGCCTGTAGTTCCAGTTACTTGGAAAGCTGAGGCGGAAGGATCACCTGAGCCCAGCAGGTTGAGGCTGTGGTGGCT